GAGGGTTGCCACGGCGCCGCTCCGCCCTATCCTCCGGCCCGGCATCATGCAATGGGGCTCCGTACGGCGCCCCCCAGCCACGCACACGGACGCGCCGGGGGCGTGTCCTGGCCCAGGCCCGCCCCTCTCCCTGGCCCCGCCCCGCCGGCCGCGGCTTCTAATGAAAGCCTGTCGCGAGGCCGCAGGAGCAGGGGTATTCCTCCCGTATCCGGTTTGTATCCGCTCTCCTGGGCGGGCGCCTAGCTGCTGTCTTCTCACTTCCTAGTCATCAATTGCGCACCCACCCTTCAAACATCCAGCCGATTCCTAGCAGGCCTCTGGTTATCCGTGCGTGCCTAACTCTGCGTGGGCGTTAGCGGGCAAAGGCTCTCAGAGGACCCTGGCCTTTTACTGTTCGGATCCTGACTCGACCCATTTCCAACTGCAGGGCCATGGACAACAGTCTTAATCCCATCGATCCTCAGTCTTTTCGTGTGTAAAATGGGGGAAATACTTCACTGATAGGGTTGCCAGGCATCCTGTATTTAGTGATTTTTGTCCCGCGTCCTGTATTGACCTTGTCAGGATGCCTTAAGTGTCCAGTATCCATCTTTATGCAGCAAATGACGATAACTAGAGCTATTCCTTCACAGTAATTGACGTTGAAATGATTTTAATGACAACATTTGCTGAAAATCCTTCACAAATAAAGATCTGGAAAATTTCTATAGTATCTCCTGCAGGTTTAGCTAAGGGAAGACCAAAAGAAGGGAGTAGGGATTTAAAGTATTTGTTTTTCATATTCAAGAAAGGAAAGACTTTCTTGGCTCAAGTCCTGATGGTGAACAAGTAACCACTATTATTCGGATACCTTTTCATCAGTACACATGCTCTGGAAATCAGCCAATCAGCGACAGACTCACTCCAAGGGCTTATGTTTCTGAAAATTAGCCAGTCACCAACATCTTCACTCCGGTGAGAGTTACTAAATCAATGACTTTAATACTCCTGCTCATCCATTGCGCACTCATCCTTTAAACATTCAGCCGATTTCTAGCAAGCCTCTGGTTACCTGCACACCCAGCCTTGAGCAGGGCATGGACATTAGCGAGACATAGGATCCTAGTTATGAAATCAATCCGTTTCTGAAAGTTATCGGATCAATGACAACCCCCACACTTTTGAAAGGCAGACAGTCACTGACAAGTTTTATGATTCAGACAATAGCCAGTCAACAAATGCCTCACACCAGTGACCAGGCTTCTGAAAGTCAGCTGTTCTTTAACTGTTTACTCCAGTTGCCACACTACCAAGAGTCAATCGCTAAATTCTCATGCTTCTGCAAGACAAAAAAATCCCTGAAGGCCAGGATTCCCAAAACCTCATATAATGATATAACATCATCATTGGCTTTGTTCAGAAAGACTGATGCTTTACAAGTGCAGCAACTCTCCCTTGCAAGCAGAAGTTTGTTTTTTTTTTTCCTTCAGAGATTGAGTTTAATTTATTGTTTTAGGCAAGTCCAAAGTTTACAATTCTTTCAAGATTCAAATCCCAGTTAGTGTTAGGTATGAGTTTGGACTTGTGACAGAAGCAATGAAACAGCCATGAGATTTATCAAATACAGCTTTTTCAATTCTTGCTGGGGTTGCTACTATCAGTGTTGTAAAACAATTGAGAATATGCACAGAGTTGCACAATCACAACCACAATCAGTTTTGACTCTTGCATTTTAGAGTATTTTAATCAGAAACCCTGTACCTATCAGCATTCTCCATTTCTCCTTAACCACCCCAGCCCCAGATAACCACGAATCTTTCTATAAATTTTCCTATTCTAAGCATTTCATAAAATTTAGAATCATACGATATATGATGTTTTGTGACTGGCTTCTTCCAGCTAGCATAATGTTTATACAGTTCATCCATGTGGTAACATGCATCAGAATTCTGTTCCTTTTCATAGTTGAGAACTATTCCATTGTGTGGATATACCACATCTTGCTTATCTGTTTATCAGTTAATGGACATTTTGGTTGTTTTCACATTTTTGCTATATATATATATATATATATTTTTTTTTTTTTTTTTTAGCTAATGCTGTTATAAACATTTGTGTACAATGTTTTTGTGTGAACATGAATTTTCAGTTATGGATTGCTGGATCATATGGTAATTCTATATTTTACCTTTTGAGAAACTGCCAAACTGTTTTCCAAAGTGGCTGTACTATTTATATTCTCACCAGCAATGTATGGAAGTTCTAATTTTTCCACATCCTCCCCAACACTTATTACCTATCTTTTTTATGACAGCCATCTTAGTGAGTATAATGTGGTATCTCATTGTGGTGTTGATTTGCATTTCCCTGATAGTTAATGATGTTGAGCATCTTTTTATGTAGTTATTAGCCATTTGTACATCTTGTTTGGAGAAATTTTTGCTCAGTTTTTTTGTACATTTTTTTGCTTGTTTTTGTTTTTAAGTAGGAATCTCATTCTGTTGCCCAGACTGGAGTGCAGTGGCACGCTCATGGCCACCACAGCCTTAACCTGCTGGGCTCAGGCAGTCCTTCCGCCTCAGTCTTCCAAGTAGCTGGAACCACAGATGCGCGCCACTATGCCCGGCTAATTTTTTTTACTTATTGTAGAGATGAAGTCTTGCCAAGTTTCCCAGGCTGGTCTCGAATCCCTGGACTCAGACAATCCCCTCGCCTCAACCTCCAACCTGGGATTATAAGCGTAAGCCACCGCGCCCAGCAGATTTTTTTGGTCCATTTTAATTGAAGTATTTGTCCTTTATTAATTTGTAATAGCTCTTTGGATATTCTAGATTCGAGTCCCTTATCTGACATAATCATTTGCAAAAATTTTCTCCCATTCTGTGGGTTGTCTTTTCATATTCTTGATAATGTCGTTTGAAGCACAAAATCTTTTTGTTGTTTGTGCTTTAGGTGTCATAACTAAGAAACCATTGCCTAATCCAAGGCCACGAGGCCTTATTTCTGTTTTCCTCTCAGAATGTAATAGTTTTGGCTCTTACATTTTTAGGTCTTTGATCCATTTTGAGTTAATTTTATATATGGTGTGAGAAAGGGATCCAATTTCATTCTTTTGCATGTGGCTATCCAGCTGTCTCAGCACCTTTTGTCAAACAGACTATTATTTCACACTGAGTTGTCTTAATACCCTTATTGAAAAGCAACTGTGTTACCTATTTTTTAAAATGTGTGTATATTTGGTTTTTTGTTTATCGTTTTTTGTTTTTTGTTGGAGTCTCATTCCTTCACCCAGACTGGAGTGCAGTGTCATGCACGTTCACGGCCACTCCAGCATCAACCTTCTGGGTTCCAGCGATCCTTCTGCCTCAGCTTTCCAAACAGCCAGAACTACAGATGTGCGCTACCACGCCAGGCTATTTTTATTTTATTGTAGTGACTAGGTCTCCCCAAATTGCCCGGGCTGGTCTCAAACCCACGGGTTCAGGCAATCCACTTGCCTCAGCCTCCAAAAGTGCTGGGAATACAGGTTGAGCCACCGAGCCCAGCTAAACGTGTGTATATTTGAATTCCCAAAAGCCAAAATGCATGAAGAAATTTCTGAATAGTGCACATTTATTAAGTTCATTTGCACCTCTTTGTGTGGTATATAAGTATTCCTTCAATACTGAAAATGGTAGAAAATCAAATATAAACCAGCACTGACAACATAGATGTGTAACTACTTCAACTTGTACCAAAGGAAGTGAAAAAATAACAAGTGATAAAGTAACAAGATTTTTAAATGAGTGTGGTGGCTTTTGCCTGTAATCCCAGCACTTTGGGAGACAGAGTCAAGAGGATTACCTAAGTCCATGGGTTTGAGACCAGCCTGGGCAAATTGGTGAGACCTCGTCTCTACAATAAATAAATAAATAAATAAAATTAGCGAGACTTGGTGGCTCACACCTGTAGTTCCAGCTACTTGGAAGGCTGAGGCAGAAGGATTGCCTGAGCCCAGCAGGTTGAGGCTGTAATAGCCGAGAGCATGCCACTGCACTCCAGCCTGGGTGGCAGAGTGAGATTCTGATAAACCAAAAAAAAGACAAAAAGACAAAAAACAAACAACAAAAAAAAAAGCAAGTTTTTAATAGAAAACCAGATGAAGATAAAATAAAGGAGAAATTGTAATGACTTCCCACACTGTATGCTATCATCAGTCTTTCAGCTCAAATAAGTCTTTGAACATACTGCTACCAGAAATACTTTCTAATTCCAAAATTGCAAGAAAATGTTCAAATGCCAGGACAAAAATCTACTGCAATACTTAAAAATGTAATGATTCCATTTACTATTGCTGCAGTGATTATCAATGCTATAAATGCCCTCCTTTTTTATGGCATAATCATGGATAGAAATTATCACAATGCAGAAAAATATTTCCCTTTTATTGTACAATATTCTTCTTATGAAAAAAGGCTTGTTCGAGTTGGATATGATGGCTAATACTTGTAATCCCAACACTTGAGGAGGCCAAGGGGGGAGGATTATTTGAGACCAGAAGACCAGCCTGACCAACATAGCAAGACCCTATCTCTACAAAAAAAAATTTTTTTTTAATTAGCTGGGCACTGTGGTGATCCCAGTAGTCCTAGCTTCTGGGAAGACTGAGGTGGGAGGATTACTTGAACCTGTCTCAAAATAATAAATAAATAAATAAAACAGCTTGCTTATGAAGCTGTTTTGAGTAAAACCCCTTCCAGATAAGACTTCAGAAGCAAAAACAAATTTTTTGCAGAGATTCTCTTATTGAGTTGGGAGTTAATAAGCA